TTGTTATTCATTTTTACGCAATGATTGTGCAAACCCACCGCTTTAAAGTCTCAAAATTTAAATAACTCTGAACTACAAATTCAATTACTCTATGCTAGAGATATAAGTTTTTCCTTGCACTGAATTGCATCCCCATTCCATTACAGYAAAATTTATAGCGAATATTTTCGAAGCTGTAATACATTCTTTTACTCTTAGCTGGTATTTTAGTTGGGGTAACTATACTTTATAAACCCTTCATGTTTGACTCCAAGTTCCGTCTCTATGTATAGCAGATAAGAAATTTTTATATTTAGCTGGCTAAGAAGAGGCTTAAATGCTGGTAAGTAGTTAAAATTCCGAATTGAAATATGTAACTTTATTCTGTTTAAATTGACAATAGAGTTGTTTAGTACTTTGGAGTCCCTCGTTATCCGAGCTACCCATTTCACCTTTTCAAATCACACTGTTAAAGCAGAGGTGTTTTAAGCCAATAAGGCTAAATTACCCTTCTTTTGAACATATGTATGTTGAGAAAACGACGCGGTTTTGGCTAACTCAAACTATATAAAGGGTGATATATTCCGGGGTTCCCTACTTTTTTAAAGAAAAAACACAGAAACCTCAATCTTTTGGCATTTATTTTTCGAAGATTAAAATATTGGCCGCGAATACGTCTCAGAAGGCCCATCCGTTGAATACAATTTTTTGACTCATTTGAGCATCTCTACTGATAACTGAACCAATGATTCTGACGTATTATACAATGCGCCAAGTCGTTCCATACGTCTGTCCGAGTTGGAGCGAACGGCGCCGAATCGACTCTCCGCGGTCTTCGGGTACACTCTCAGCTTCGGCTGCTATATTTTCTYCACTGCGTGCTGGACGTGGTTTATTAGGTCGAATATTATTCAATAATAAATTCTGGATCATAATATGGATTATGGTGTTGCGAAWARTSCRTTTAGTGWKCTGATTATGATGACCATAARTKGAGCAAAGCGCGCGAAACACATTCTGCACATACAGAACATGAATTTTCAAAATAAATTCTTTTCATGATGAAATACCAAGCAATACTRAACAAAAATTACAGAACAAATTGGCACGACTCACCCGTAATTTTGCCAAACCAAGCTATTGAAAAAGTATATCTAATGAATCACCCGTTAGAGCTAACTTTTTTTAACAGCAAGCGATCAGTAGATACCAAAACTTTAAGTGGATGAAAGAGCTTCTCAGAGAAATTCTTAAAACGTTTTCACTAAAGCGGTTTAGTTAAGAGACCACAACACATTTGGACGCTGATCACGTAAGATATTATCCTAACTTGATAGCCTAGCTTACATACTATATAACGATTATCTCCAGAACATGGGCAATTAATTAACTATCTAGATTGGACATCAACCGACATGTTCATTTCTTGCTTTAGTACAACCTTGAAAAAGTTTTCTAAACAACTTTAAGCTCAAAAACAGGTACTTTTCTTGTTTGATTTAGGCTTAAAAAGGGGCGGTTATACAAACGAATACGTAAAGTTTCCTGTTGAAACCTTAGCGCTTAAATATCAGTAAGGGTTAGGTTTGATAGAAGATTATTAAGGTTTTGATGAAGATTGTCCAAAACTATCTTATAGTAAGTCCCTAAGAGTGGTGGTCCATACTTTAACAAATCATCCATTGACTTAGTAAACACTTGAAAAGAAAAACTCTTTCCGTTCTGCCACGACTGACTACTTTATCTCACTAATGGATGAAGCGCAGACAACAATAATTCTTAAAGAAATCTAATTTCATTTTTCCAGCCTAACATAAATAATTTCAATAAACTTCCTCTTTATAACTACATACACGTGTGTACACTGATTTTCCAGCAATCAGAAAAAAATGTTCATTGTCACAATACAATTCAAAAGAGTTCCGCCTCTGAATACCWCCTTGTTGGCCTTATTCTCAAGTTGTTGACATTAAAACTTGAGGGGTTTTGAAAGGCTTTGAATTTCATACCAATTAAAAGGCTAATAGAGTGGATATCAAAGACAGTCAACAGAACTATACTGTCACACCCAAACACATATAAACAGACCAACAACAACATTGCATTTTATRCATATATTTCTCTAGAAGCCCTGACTTGGCAACGTGCAACAAATAACTGGTCAACTGTCTGGCAACGTATCAATACAAAAGTCATTGGCAAAGAGGAGCACGAACACCAAAGCACGGTTAAGCACCATTGTGTAGTGGAAGCGTTTAAAAATAAATTCAAGCATGCCGCTCCATAGCCAATGGCTGAAGCAAAGTGTCTGAAGGGTGAATATGGCAGGTTTAGAATTTCAAACTGCTGCAATCAAAGCTTTTTACACAATGGATGTTAAAATATTGCAAGGAGGAAATTTTATACAATAAAAGTTAACTGTAGATATATGTAAGACAGGGTTTCTCAACTTTTCTAAATATTTTTGAGGCTTTTGAAAAGCACCTCTAAGACATTTTTGTACAGACACACATTTCTTAAAATAATTGCTGACAACAAGCTACTCTTCAGGCGAACAGTTCGTAATCTTCCCACCAAACTTCCGGAGCTTTTAATAAGTCACCATTGTTTTATGAGGCCTGGAGTCAGCCTGATGGAAAAAATCGTGYTTAAAGTAGATGCATCCAGCCTATTCCACTAAACACCTAGCAAAAGCTTCATGTCCATCAATACTGACTTGTGTGCGACGATACACAGCAGTTCGGCCCAATCGTTTTCGATTGATATATGTAGTTATAAGTGACCCTCTTTTCATCATCAGTAGCTGTACCCGCTGCAAAGCTTAGTTTGGGAAGCACTGTCAATTCGCATATACAAATAAATGCAATAAATGCGGGCAAAAATTTAGTAAACTACAGCTAAACTAACAAAAAAGCGTGCTATAGAAAAAACAACAAAAGTTGTAACTAGAAAAAGGGTAACATTGCCAGCAGGCAAGCGAGTGAGAAGTGTTGGAAACATTAGAACKCACAACAATATTCCCATTTGCTTGTTTGTATGCTAACACACGAATATAAATATAAAACTTTACTTGAAGTAAGAGTCCAAATTTTCATTTTTCGTAAAGCAAAAATTCCGGCAAAATGAAGCACAACAACAAAGTTGAGTTGCGTTAAACAAGGTGAACCCAACGAATTGTCATTTAAAACCAACACAAACGTTAATTGAATAAGGAGAAGCACACGCCAAAAGGATGCAGCAGAAATGTGAAATAAATTTGAGAATTTAAAATGAAAAGTGAGTGTGGGGAAAGTTTCGAAATACGACCATTTACGACGTTATTGCAAAGAGAAAATCATGGAGTTGGAGTTACGCACTCAAGCCAATGGGATGTAATGGGGTCGATTTATTACTTTCAACATATTCGTTTAAAAATAGAAGAAACCTAACGAAGTTATTTTATAAATGAGAAACTGCAATAAAAATATGAACGCTAGGAATTTTCGACGCATAGTGATCAGGTAGTTTCTAATTGTGAATTCTAAAATGAAAATGATAAATGATGTATGAAAGTGTACTAAGATTCMTTGCTACTTGAAGGCAACAAATAGYAAGACTTTTTAATTTGAATTTCGTGTGATTCGATTGCCCAAATATCACATTAAAATAATCATTGGCGTTTGATATACGCCCGTCTTTCTGAAGTACATAAAGTGAATTTGGCGATTTTTAYGTTGAGTGAAATTCTTTAACAAACAAGTTCCAAATTTTGTGTGCGGAATAAAATGTCTGGTGCCGAAACGACGAACTACGTTCAGGCCAAAAGCCATAGTTATGTTGACAGCTTTCTTCGATTATCGAGGTGTMGTGCACTTTCAATACCTTCCGAGCGCCCAAACAGTCAACAAGAGATGCTATTTGAGTGTTGTGCGATTTGACGTCGTTACGCTCTTTCCTGTGKGGCTACGTCAAGTCTATGGTCTATACCAACAAGCCAGCGACGACTGATGAACTTCGTACGAATATCGAACGTGAAATTGCAGCAGTATCGGTCGATTTATGCTTGAAAACCGTCGAAGATTGCGTTCAACGTCTGGACTTCTGCAAGCATGCCCGTGCTGACCATGCAGAAGGTATTGAGTTCCATACATAATGACATAGAATGCACTTTCACTGGAGTATGGCCAAATAATATTACAGAGTTCCGATTACAACATCTTCTTCTGATATTAGGTTGTCAAARAAGTTTTGCGGTATTTTCGCTAGTTGGCGCTGAGAGCRCGTAGTTCTAGTTTCATTCGTCGCATCGGGTCATGCTATACCTTTTTGGAAAGTTTGCACGAAGCTATTCAAAAAAGATGCCAAAATTATGGGTCGAGAAGTCTTCGTTTTGGCCCCACGACAATGCACCGTTATATACTGTATTGATTCTTTGTRAGTTTCTCGCCAATTGTTCAACCAATATCATGCCGCAACCACCGAATTCGCCTGATTTAGCTGCGTGTGACTTCGGGCTATCCAACAAACTGAAACGACTACTCCGAGGAAACCGTTTTGAGTCAATTTAAGGCATTCAACCGGAAATTGCCTTTAACAACTGTTTCAAGGATTGCAAAAAACATTAGTACGTTGAGGGTCACGACATAGATTTTGAAGGATAAATTAAGATTTTTAAAATTACGAACAAGTACAGTACTCTTTTTTGCTCATAGTACATAGTAATATATATATTTAATTTTTAGGAGCATATTTCGGCAAACAGTAGGAGAAAGGA